TTACGTATATAAAAACATATAAGTAACTGAAATAAAAGTTAAATAAATTGTATTTCCTATTTTCAGTGTATGTCATGCATGCACTCTATTTTGCATTTTATGAAACTATTCTCTTCTATTTATATATAGATAATAAACAAATCTATAATAAATTTATCTATAAATTATAGATAACATTGAAGATATATATTATTAATTTATCTATATACGTACAGACAATATGTATATGTTCTGTTTAATTAAACATTAATCAAATTCACCAATGGTCTGTGATCACAATTTGAAAAACAAGAAGTTACAATAAGCACTGGGGCTTCCCTGGTGGCGCAGTGGTTAAGAATCCACCTGCCAATGCAGGGGACACTGGTTCGAGCCCTGGTCCAGGAAGATCCCACATGCCGCAGAGCAACTAAGCCCACAGGCCACAACTACTGAGCCCGCATGCTGCAACTACTGAAGCCCACGCACCTAGAGCCCGTACTCGGCAACAAGAGAAGCCATCTCAATGAGAAGCCCGTGAACCACAATGAAGACCAGCACCCGCTTGCTGCAACTAGAGAAAGCCCATGCACAGCAACGAAGACCCAATGTAGCCAATAAATAAATAAATAAATAAAATAGATTTTTTAGAAAACAAACAAACAAATACTAGGAATCACACGTTTCCCCCACTTTGAACAGGAAGGGTGACTTACCAGAAAGCTTCATGAAAACAGATTCCAGTAAAGCTGGAGAGATCAAAATGCAAAGAGAGCAGAGCTTGGATTCAGGAAAAAACTTAGCTTCAAACTCCAGGGTTGACAAGAAAGCAGTGAGCTCAATGAACTCCATGGGTACCAACACCTGCTTGCTCACCAGCCTCCAAGTCATTAGAGGGCATCTCTGGATCCCACTTCTGACACCATGCAATGTCAACCTTTAAAATAAAACATCCAGTTATTTTACTGGCAAAATAGGTTTACTCAGAAATAACAGAGAATTGCAATTTGGGACAAGCATGTTATGATGTATCATAGGCAAGCCTGGAGAACAAAGGAGAGGCACTTGCTTTTATTAAGTTTTAGGGGGAAATTGGGGAGAGCTGTTTTGAACAAAACTTCATTGGAAAAGAACAAGCATTCAAGGCTGTGGCAGTTTCTCATTGGCTGCAAGTGGTGGTAAGGGAGCTGTTGCTGGGGCAGGGAGGAAATTTCCTTCTTTTTTTTTTTAAAGCAGGAGAGGGAATTCGCTGGCAGTCCAGTGGTTAGGACTCCGTGCTTTCACTGCTGAGGGCCTGGGTTTAATCCCTAAGATACCACAAGCCGGACTTCCCTGGTGGTTAAGACTCCATGCTCCCAATGCAGGGGGCCCGGGTTCGATCCCTGGTCAGGGAACTAGATCCTGCATGCCGCATGAGGCAATGAAGATCCTGTGTGCCACAACTAAGACCCGGTGCAGCCAAATAAATAAATAAATATATATATTTAAATTTATTTATTATTTATTTTATTTTTGGCTGTTTTGGGTCTTTGTTGCTGCACACGGGCTTTTTCTAGTTGTGGCGAGCAGGGGCTACTCTTCATTGGGTGTGGGCTTCTCATCGTGGTGGCTTCTCTTGTTGCAGAGCACGGGTTCTAGGCACACGGGCTTGAGTAGTTGTGGCATGCAGGCTCAGTGGTTGTGTCTCGCGGGTTCTAGAGTGCAGGCTCAGTAGTTGTGGTGCACGGGCTTAGTTGCTCTGCGGCATGTGGGATCTTCCTGGACCAGGGCTCAAGCCTGTGTCCCCTGCATTGGCAGGTGGATTC